TTTCTACCTCCCCCATCAATAACGAAAGTAAACAAATTTGTGTTTATCCCCCAAATGTCTCTCTACATAACATAAAAACATATGCATATGCCTACCTATAGAGGTTTCTTTTCTCATTTTTGGTATTTCCAAATATGGGATAACTTCATGCACTTTTTTGAATCTTGCTTTTGTCATGTAACAGCATGTTGTAGAAATTCCTCTTAAAAATTTTTTTAATGTTTATTTACTTTTGAGAGAGAGAGAGAGAGAGAGTATAAGCAGGGGAGGGGCAGAGAGAGAGAGAAATACACAGAATCCGAAGCAAGCTCCAAGCTCTGAGCTGTCAGCACAGAGCCCAACACGAGGCTCAAATCACGAACCACGAGATCATGACCTAAACTGAAGTCTGACGGTTAACCAACTGAGTCACCCAGGCGCCCCAGAAATTTTACCTGTAAAGATCTAGCATATTCTTTTAGCTTTACCTGTAAAGATCTAGCATATTCTTTTTAAGAATTGCATAATATTTAGTCACTTTGAGAATGCAGATTTATTCAAATGGTGAGCAGTTACAAAATTTTGTTTTGTTTTGTTTTTTGCAGCTATAAATATTGCTGCAATAAGCATTTTTATATCTCATACATTCGTATATAATGATGTTTTGATACTCTGTGAGAATCCCGGAAGTGGGATTGTAAACTGAAAGGTATATGCATTTTTTAAGTTTTTTTTTTTTTTTTAATTTTTTTTTCAACGTTTATTTATTTTTGGGACAGAGAGAGACAGAGCATGAACGGGGGAGGGGCAGAGAGAGAGGGAGACACAGAATCGGAAACAGGCTCCAGGCTCTGAGCCATCAGCCCAGAGCCCGATGCGGGGCTCGAAATCACGGACCGCGAGATCGTGACCTGGCTGAAGTCGGACGCTTAACCGACTGCACCACCCAGGCGCCCCGCATTTTTTAAGTTTTTTAAGTTTATTTATTTTGAGAGAGACTGAGAGAGTGAGAGAGCAAGCACAAGTGGGGGAGGGACAGAGAGAGAGGGGGAGAGAGAATCCTAAGCAGACTCCGCGCTGACAGCACAGAGCCCAACTCGGGGCTTGATCCCACAAATCATGAGACCATGACCTGAGCCAAAATCAAGAGTCAGATGCTCAACCGACTGAGCCACCCAGGCGCTCCTGTATTTTTAAGTTTTAATAGAATTTTTAAAATTTCTACACGGTTGGTAACATTTCATATTTTATTTTTCTAATAACTATTTATTATACCCTTACCCCTTGCCTGGCACTGTTTTAACAATTTGGATTCAACAATGAGTAAGACAAAGATCCCAGCCCTCATGGAAGGCTCATCCGAGAAATACAGTGGAGAAGAAGAAATGAAATAAGCATAACTATAAAAAATACTTTAATTACAGAAATGTATGAAAACACAATTCTCCTTTGATTTATCATCAACAGCTGATATTATCACTCCTTTTCTTTTTTTCCCCAAACTTACTGATAGAATGTGATATTTTATTATCTTAATTTGCATTTTCCAACTGATAAGTAATTTTAACATTCTCACATGTTTATTTAGCTATATGGATTTGTGTTGGATAAACTGCCTATTTGTATAAACTTTACTCATTTTTCTATCGAGTAGATTGTATGCTAGACCCATACTTCTTGTTAATTTTCATGAGCTCTGTGTATATTATAAATAGACATTTATCTGTGGTATGGTTTGCAAATCTTTTCCCCAATCTGTTGCTTATGCACTGATTTCATAACGTTGTTGTTTTTTGTTTTTTTACCATAAAATAACTTTTGTGTTTGTAAATTTGTCTTTATGTTATCAACATGTCTTTTTGTCCTCTCTTAGCTTCTGGCTATTCTGTCTTTGTTAATTGCTATCTCTGAACTCTGGATCATATGTATAGTCTCCTAAATTTTCTTTCAATTAAATTAAAAAAAAATTAATATATTTTTTAGAACACATGGAGTTTATTTTTTAATATGGTGTGAGGTAGGGGTCTGATTATATTTTCTTCTAGGTAGACAACCATTTTCCTAATACCATTTATTAAAAATAAACTATCAGTTCTCCATTGAAGTAAAATGCTACCTTTTTCATATATGCAGTTCCAAATGTACTAGAATCTGTTTACATACTTATTATTCTGCTCCACTGATTATATCTCTATTCTTATTCCAACTGTATGCTATTTTGATTACAGTGTTCTTTTTCATAGTTTTAAAGCTAGATTAAAATTGTATTTGGCCATAGAAAACTTCAGATGATTTTATCCAATTAAAAATTGTAATTATTATTGAAAGTACATTTAATTTATCTTAGGAATGAGGAAGAGGACATAATCAAGAAAGAGAAGAGATTAAAATAATTACAAGACAATACTACCTAAAACTTTATGGCAACAAATTAGAAAATGTAGAGGAAATCAAAGGTCTCCTAATAAATCATATAATCATCAAAATGGTGCAAAGAGGAGGAAAAATGGGAATCAACAAATTCCTGTAGAAGAACTGGAAATGCACTTGAAGATCTACTTTTTGGTTTTCTTTAACTTTTTAAATTTATTTTACATTTTTTTCTTTTTGAAGATTTTACTTATTTATTTTTTAATTTAAATTCAAGTTAGTTAACATACGGTGTAGTATTGGTTTCAGGAGAACTGAGTCATTCATCTCTTACATGCAACACCCAGTGGTCATCCCAACAAGTGCTCTCCTCAATGCCCATCACCCTGCCTCCATCAACCCTCAGTTTGTCCTCTATATTTAAGAGTCTTTTATGGTTTGCCTCTCTCTAGGTTTTTATCTTTATTTTTCCTGCCCTTCCCCTATGTTCATCTGTTTTGTTTCTTAAATTAAAGATCTACTTTTTAAAAGGACTTCAGAGCAGGGCACCTGGGTGGTTCAGTCGATTAAGCATCTGACTTCATGTCGTGATCTCACAGCTCGTGAGTTTGAGCCCCACGTTGGGCTCTGTGCTGATGGCTCAGAGCATGGAGACTGCTTTGGATTCTGTATCTCCCTCTCTCTCTGTCCCTCCCCTGCTCATTCTCTGTTTCTCTCTGTCTCAAAACTGAATAAACATTAAAAAAAAAAAAAAAAAAAAAAGGACCCCAGAACAGATGACTTACTGGCTGAGTTCTATCCAGCCTTTAAAGAACAGAGAGTCTCAGTGTTATTCAATGATTCAAAGCCATAGGAAGAAAGATGGAGAACCCCCTAATATTACAAAGTCAGCATCATCTTAATGTTAACTCCTCATAGACAGACCCCACTTGGGAATATTGATTTTCATTTGAAATAAAACATTAGCAAATAGGATCTATCCACGTATCTAAAAGACTAATGAACTGTAAACAAATAGCTTTTATTTCAGAACACAAAGATTTCAGTAGCAGAAAATTTATCAACATAATTTATTACATCAACAAATTAAAGAAAATGATCATATTAAAAGACACTAAATAGGGTACCTGATAAGATTCAGTATCAATTCTTAACAGAAATCCATAATCCCTTTTCCAAAATCCTGATAACAAGAAATCTCTGAAAAGTAAAATGTTGGCCTGTAACTTTGGCATTTCATTTGCTGCTAAGGTTTATGCGAACTGACATAAAGAAACTACTTGACTACAGAGAAGTGCTGTTCTTTACAAATGTGAAGTATTACATGTTTTGTACGCGAAGCACGCTCAAAAAACAAATTATGGATTATTTGTTATTGGGGATCTCTCTCCTATATTTAGAATTACTCCAGTCTTCCTTTTTTTCAAGATGAGTTTGAGGAGAATTAATATGAGACATGTGCTTTCAACTTTCTAGAAGAAAACATCACTGCGTTTCAGTAAATCTAAGACACCGCTGTTTGGAAGACTAACATTTATTCTATGTATCACTAAAAGAGAGGGAAAAAGGATGCTGCTATTTATGAATCATCGTCGGGTGTAAAACACATCGCAGTTTCAAGAGATGTTGAGTGAAAAAGGTGCATCCCGGAATCTATGAAATATGAACACATGTGAAAGCAGTCAGGAACTCTCCATCAACCACACGGCCCTTCCAACAAGAACAGGGACTCAAGGTCCTTTCCTCTATAAATGTCTGTGTCTTGGGGATGGGCCGGGTGTGAGGTAGAGTGTAGTGGTCTGGGGTCAGCCAGAGCTCCACAGTTGGCTCTTCGCTGGTTACTGGTTTGACCAGGAACCAGCTATTTAACATCTCAAAGCTCAGTCCTGGGACAGGGATGAAGCCTACTTACACTTACTTTAGAGTTAAAACGATGACATGAGATAGGCTTTGTGAAGTTCAAGAGTAAGTCCTTCCTAATAGCTGCCCCTGGAATGAGGGCAGTGCTGATGTGGTGGTGTCGGCTGTGGTCTCTGGCATCTTTCCCACTTCTATAACTCTATGATCCTTTACGCAAGAAAAAGCTTGGCCGATCTCTCTCACTTATGGAAGACTCTCTGATATTACTGAGAAGACGCTGTTGGCCTCAGACGCCTATACCATCAGTGTGCCCTGAATTTATAGCATCTCATCTGAAAATCTGAGTGGGAAAGAACCTCAGACATGTCCTAACATGGACCAAGAGAGGAACTTGACCTTCCCAAGTAATACAGCCAGTGGCAAAATGAAGGCTAAACCCGGACCATCAGGCACGTTGGTCAGACTCTTTCTAGATGGTTCCTATCCCCAAGGCACTAGGGCTCACCCCAGCAGTTTCTGGCAGTTCGCTCAGACCTGGATGATCTCTGTCCTAAACCCAGTCATTTGTCCTCTCTGGTCTACTTCTTCCTGCTCTGGGAAAAAAAGATGGATGCAAACTTAGCCTGCCCAACTGCTTACTGGCTTCATGTTCTGATTTTGGCCTTCACTGCCCCTCCCACTTCCGCCCCGCCTTTCTAATTGGCCACCTGGAAGGAGTTGGGGGAGCTCTTCTGTACTGAGGCTCTGAAGACCTACTCACATCACCAATCTGCTGTGTGCTCTCCGACAGGATGGGAGTGGTGAGCAGCAAAAAGCAGGTGAAGGAGAAAGGTAAGGGCCTCTGGAGCCCTGTGAAGGTCAACACCCAGAGCAAAGATCCCCCACCACTGCCTCCCCTGGTGAGTGATGGCTGTTCCCAGCTGGGGAGGGAGGGGGAGGAAGAAGAGCAGGGAGCAAGGGCGGCTCCCTGGGGGCTGCTGCTTGTTTCCAGCCAGCGCAGAGCCACCTCTAGAGAATTCAGGGCTCTGACAAATCAGCCCCCTGTCACTGCCACCAAAACGTGGCACCCACCTCATGTTGGTGTGGCAAGATAGTGGAACATTTAGCAGCCAGATTGCCAGTGTTTACATGGATTTGTTGTGTACTTTGAAGCAGGTTACTTAACTCCCCCATGCCTCAGTTTCTGCATCTGTAAAATGGGTATAATGAAAGTGCCTTTCTGACAGGGATGCAACAGTACATGATGTATTATACAACTGTGCAATCCCATTATATATTACCTTTACACGGGATCGGGTTAGTTTCCAATAATTCTTACCCAGTTTTCATTTCGCAAGGGGAGCCTTGAAGAGAAAAAGAAATCAAAAAGGTCAGCCTGAGAGGAGGGTGTGGTGGGAAAGGGTCTGGGGCATTTAGCAACATCTGCTGCCCCATTCCTACCCAGAAGCTCCTGGAGGTCATTGTCCCTTTCCTGGAGCTGGTGATGCAGTTCTGTCTTGTTTACAAAGCGTTTAGCACCCTTGCATGGAGGCTACTGCATTCCAAAAGTGCGTTTTTAGATGATTGTTTGTGACACCCCCCTCCCCCACCTAGCCCCCTACCCCTTTTTGGTTTGGGTAGGGGTGAGTCATGCCTGGAACCTGCTTTCTTGCTCTCTGCCTCAAGGAGCACATTCAGCTGGTCATCACTTTACTCCAACAGTGACTTGATGAGGGGTGGGGATTGCTAATCTCATTTCTTAGACCACTAGGCATTTTATCTGTGTCCCAACGTAATCCAGGGCTTGGCACAGAACAATGAAATGTTTGTTGAATGAATGAATGATGGCGGGGTAAACTCAGATTACATAGAGTAATATTAGCATATTACTTATGCTAATAAGTAATAGAACCTGGAATGTTTTTGACTTTAAAAAGTCACATAATCTATACTAATTATGGAGAAAAATTGTAAATAACTCATTATCCCACTCGCCAACGATAACCAGAGTTCGCACTCCAGAGCTCCTGCCGCCAGACCCTTTTTCTCAGTGTTATTTATATTATGTGTTTGTGTTTTCTTTCTTGTTTAAATGTTTATTTATTTATTTTGAGAGTGAGAGAGGGAGAACGAGCAGGGGAAGGGCAGAGAGAGACAGAGTGAATCCTAACATGAATAAGCTGGCGCCCCCACACCCTCCTCCTCTAACCCTGTGTACGGTCCAGGGACTGTGTGAGATGGCAGTGGTACTTGAGACTGGTGGCACCGTGTGCACAATTTACCTGTGCAACCTCCTGCTGACAGCAGCACCCCTAAGACCACCCAGCTGCCGGGCCCAGCAACCTTCCTGCCACACCAGGCCTGCCCAGGCCTCAGGGCTGAACTAATGCAGCGTTCCTGTATCTCTACTTCAGGTCCTGTTTAACCACCTGGCTCCTTCACCTCCGGACATGCACCCAGACCAAGGTAAGAAGGGGCTGCTTTGGAAGCTGAGGCTCCACAAGCCATCTTCCCCTCCCGACCATGAGCAGTCAACACAGGGGCCCAGTAGGGGGCCACTTCCTGGAAAGGACTGGGTGGGCCTTCTAGGGTCAGAAAGAAGGCTGGGGCTGGGGGTGCTGAGCCGGGCACAGCTCTGCCCCAGTCTTCACCTGCCCGTAGGGGCCTCTCCAGGAACCAAGCACCAGTTCCTGTATCTGAGCCTGGGTGGGTTTTCTTTAAAAAAGGACTTTACAGACTATAAATGGGACAAAAAGAAAAAGCATTACAGTAAATACAAATGGCATACAAACAAACCTAAGTTTTCAAAGATTCTAACTCCTAACTCAAAGGGCGAGGGCCCATAATAGGTCTGCGTCTTCCCTCCTGCCCTCAGTCTATTCTGTGAATGGAAGCACCATCTTTTTTTTTTTTCCTCTGAGAGATAGAGATAGAGATAGATGAATAGATAGATAGATGATAGATAGATAGATAGATAGATGATTGATAGATAGATAGATAGATAGATAGATGATAGATGATAGAGGCAGAGAAAGAGGGAGACACAGAATCTGAAGCAGACTCCAGGCTATGAGCTGTCGGCACAGAGCCCGACGCGGGGCTCGAACTCACAGACCTCAAGATCATGACCTGAGCCAAAGTCGGACGCTCAGCCAACTAAGCCACCCAGGCGTCCCATCACCATCTTTTTTCCCACTTCTTCCCCACTATTCAAGGCCACTGCTGACCTTCTGACCACTCACACCATCCTCCCTCACCCCCAGTCTCTACTTCCACTCTGATGGATAGGACAGTTGGGGGTCCTATAATGAGTGACCTTGGCCTTCCTGGATCAGGGCTCTGGACCTTGGGAGCACTCACAGGATGTAGCTTCATTCAGAATCAGCTTACAGGCACTTACAACCCACTTCCACACGGCACCAAGAGCTCTGTCAGGGCCTCAGTCACTCATTCCCTCACACAGCACACACGGAGCAAATAGTAAGTACCCAGAGACTGGCCGGGTTCGAGTCCTGGAGAAACTGTAGAACTGAGTAAGACGTGCCTCCTCCCCTGAAAGAGCTCAGAGTCTGTCAAACTCATGAGCAAAATGCTAAACAGAGATTAGTTCTCCTACTTGGTGTTCCTCATCCTATCCTACTGGGGATCATGATTAATTACCATGATTCACCATTAATTACCAGGGTTTACCCTTCACTTCCTGCCGGGAGCTTCATATCTCCAGTAAGGAAGCCCAGGGGGCGAAAAATAAATGAACTGCCTTTGGTGCAATAACTTGAATCTCAGGACTGGAGGGGGCCACTGTCATCTATTCCAACTGCCTCTTCCCACCATGGGGAGGTGATGAGCCCAATGTCACACCACACGTTGGTGACAAAGCTGGGTGATCTACTCCCAGGTAAACGAGGTAGTCTCCAGCTGACCTTTTCCAGGCGGGTCTTGGCTCCCTGGAGCTTTGCAGAAAAGCCCTCCTCACTAGCAGTGGTCATTTGAATGTCCATTCCAGGAACCACTGGCAAGTCAGAGAGACTGCCTGCCAAGAGCACTGGGACAGGGCATTGGGCATGGTTACAGGTCAAGGTTACAGTGGCCATGTTCCAAGACCACTACCCTCTTTGGAAAAGAGGTGGGAAGGGGCAGGTGGGGAAGAGGAAGAGTAGGGAAGCTCATGTTCTCTGAGGCAATAAGGAATCAGCCAACACTCGTTTCCAGACTTGGGACTGCAGCCATCAGACCCATGTGGCCAATCTCCCTAGATCTTTGGGTTGTCCTTTCCCTTAGACCGTACCCTGTCCAGGCCTTAAGGCTCCTATGTGGAGAGCAGAAGAGAAGCCAGGATGGGCTCTGAGGGGCAGCCCTTTCCTTGTTCCCAGCAGCAAGGTCAGGAGGTCAATCTGCCGGACAGGAATTGCCTGTGCTGCACCGGTGAGCAAGAAAGCTCACCACAGCCTCCCCTATGTCCCTGCCTCATCCTGACCCCTTAGCAGCCAGAGATGGCCCATTGCACCGACTTACCTGGTGGGCCCGGGGGGGGGGGG